TTCAAGGTTGTAGGTAAATGTTCCATACATGAATGGTCTGAGTCTGGTTTTCAATCTTTATGAGGCATAGCAAAAGCATGCTCCACTCATGCCTGAGTCATTTCTGGACATACTGCCAATGGGCAAAATCCTGCTGAACCCAGGTGAGCGGTGTTCAAAAAAGTGTTGTCTTTTCTTTCCGAGAATTCCACTCTTACGGTAGGCCTTATGCAAGGCTTACGTTTGTCATCGTGTTTCTATGTTTTGCTTACGGCGACACACGTACGCAAAGTTTTTCCTACGTTGCGCTTACGGCGGTATGCAAATCCACTGTGGTCACATGTGGTAGGTTGTTCAATATCTTTGGGGCCCAGCTGTCATGAAAGTAAACAAGTTCCACTAACCTTACAGCACCGTTCAGTGCTGCACATCCTTGTGGCAAACCTTTCGGAAACCTTACAAACTTTATTACAAACATCAGCTTAACATCATTGTTTTCTCGTATTGCTCGCCGGTTCCTTACTAAAAAGGAAAGGGTGAATGTAGAACACTGCTCAGGTGTTCTTCTCTGCCATCAGCAAGAAGAAGTAATCCCAAAAGGCCAACTACTTTTTGCCAGGGTCGATCCGAGGTCTCTTGTTCAGCTCTGGCACGCACTGGTGAGCTCGCACTGCGGATGGTGAGCTCGCATTGGATGAGGCGGAGAATCTCCTGTGCTCCCCAAAGCTCCATCTCCTTCTCGATCGGATCCGAGAACGGCCGATCCAACGAAGCCTCTGGGTCGGGTCTGACCACACAGAGCCGACCCAAACCATCGATGTGGTGAAAAATAAAACGTTCAAAGAATTAGGCAGTGCTTGGTGCCGAGCCAGGAATTGGGTTTGACCATAAGTGGCTTTAAATTACCTACACCTGAGAAGGGGGGGGGCGAAAGCCAGCAGCCGCCAGACGAATGTCTCTTTTTCTGGCGGGCGTCGCAGCACAAGACACATGGTCGGCAGCTTGCAAGTCAGCGGTGCCGCGGATGCGGGGGGCGTGCGTAATGGTGATGGAGGGAGCAGAGAGGCAAGCCGGGCGGCTTTGGGATAAGCTTGGTATGAAAGAAGTAGTGAAAGAGAAGCGCGATACGTTGTACGTTGGTGTAGGTCATCATCACACGGCAATGGCATGTGCTTGTCACACGCACGAAGGTGTGCATCTTATGGAAGTTGGCTGGCGACATCAGCTTTAGCGAAAGGGAAATAACACCGTCTGAGTTCGAGTGGTGGGATACCACGTGCGCGCGCGCACACCTTCTCCATAGTCGTCGCCGCGCGCGCACGCGCGCGAGTACGGCGCGCGTTCGAAAGGAAGCAGTTATGTGTTTGTTACATTTGGAGTGTTTGAAGTTTGCAATGCATACTGCGGCACGTCGAAAAGCGGCATTCGTTGATTTGGAAGAGTGAACGGGCACGTCCTAGCCGGGACACGGACGTTTGATCCCGCGGCGCAGAAGGGGAGGTCCAGCGCGAGTAGCTTGGGCTAGCAAAGGAGTGAGGATTTGTGTGCCGCCTGGGCTTGAGTGAGTCATGTTCTGGCTCGATCCAAATCACAATCTTTTTCCTTTACAGGGGCCTTCATTAAACGATCCAAACACCTTCTTTATTCTTCTCTTTCTTATCAACTCTGCGCCCTCACTCAGAGGCCTTGATTTGGCACCTGCATGTGTAGATCTTCGGGCCGTGGACCCAGGCTGACTGGATTCGGCCAGGCTGCCAGCAAAAGGGCGACGTCATCAGTCATTAGTATACCTCATTTATCTATCTATCTATCTATCTATCTCTCTATCTCTATCTCTCTCTCTCTCTATCTATCTATCTCTATCTATCTATCCATCCATCCATCTATCTTTCTTTCTTTCCTATCTATCTATCTATCTATCTGCACCGGCAAGCCGGAAAAACGCTCGGTGCGTGTGGACGCGATATAGTTTTTGCTAGGGGCAGGAACCCTATGCGGATATGTAGTCAACCTCGCAGGCATCCCCACCGAAACTCAATCCAAATTCATGGGCTTGAACTCAAGTCACTTTCGGTTCTCTATGGATTTCGCGAGTTACGGGTTGTCCTGGAAACCGTATCCTACATGTGGCTGCGGTCTGCTCTGTACGTGGGTCCCTGTCTCCGCTCGATTGCTCAGTGCCCATTTTCAAATTAGCCTCCAAAGCCCTTCATGATGCTAACGATGCACTACTCGGCGTCCATTACATCACTCGCATCACCAGATCCCATTTTCGCTGCTTTTTCTTTGGAGCGCTCTCCCCCACCAAGCTCTGGGTTTACCCTAATCAAAAAGTCCTCCTCAGCGACCACCTCCCTTAACTCACTTCGTTCGCCCTAAAAGCTCAAGCCTAGCCTATCGGCTGGCTTTCGTAAAGTAGGAGTACTTTTATATAAATAGAATGTACAAAATAAGCAGGGCCCAAGGACGCTACTAGGAGCAAAGGGCATCGCTACTAGTAACAAGAAGCTACTAGGGGCTCCTGGCCTTACTACTAGGAGCAAGGATGCTACTAGGTGGGTCGGACCGACCCAACACCGAAACGGGGGAAAACGGGCCCGAAGCCAAACCCTGGCCCTATTTGTTTGAGGGCCCGGATTCTTAGGGAAGTTGAATTTGTGAGTTATAGCTTGGGTACATCCCAGTACCATATCCTGTACCCAGGCCCAGTGGATGATGGCTTTCTCAATTAGGTTGGCCTGTCCAAAAAATAGTGATCATCTTTCACCGACTGTTACTAGTTTGGAACACGACATGGAACAAATCATGTTGCATCTCTTGGGAACAACCCCTGAAACCTTTGAAACCTTCCCATCTACACCGCCCCCTGAAACGATCTTGGAGATCTTCCACATTTCCTTACATTTCAATACATGTCATGCCCCGTGCTTTTGCCCCAGTGGGAACTTTCAAGTCTCCTCAGCTTGGGCCTTCATGGGTGGAAGCACCGCCGCCTAGGACGCCAAACGAGACAAGAGTTGAGGGTCACGAAGTACACAACCGGTGAGAAAGAGAGGCAGAAAAAAATCACTCAATCTGCAGGACACTTGGAGACTGGACCTTGATAGAAAGCTGAGGTGAAACTTTCTATCAAGTTTGAGATGGACCTTGATCAAAAGCTGATTTTAGACTAGTGCACGACTGGCCTTAAGTTGCCGGTTGCAAAAATCATAGGCAGCTCGAAGATCGTTTCGGACGAACATAAGTGGGTGACCCGACTCAAACGCTTGGATCAAATACACTCTGGTACCTAGTACCACTTGCATCCACGGTGACCTCCAACAGGGTAGAAACATCAATTCACTTCGCAATACATGCTGGGAACCTCTTTGTGCCCTATTTTTAGGGATACGCTCTGTGTCATGCACCAAAACTTGTCTATCACAACACCAAACCAGTTCATCGATCACATTCACCAAGTTGGTCGCTCAACCCTGTGGGGGCACAAGTGAGCGTGAGCACCGAATGTCGGACCCCCTCTGCATATGAGGCTACTAGTAGCTTCTTGCTCCTAGTAGCGATGCCAGGAGCCCCTAGTAGCTTCTTAATGCTTCTTATGGGTGCCCAGGTGCGAGGATCCGCGTCTTTGGCCACGAGGTCAACATGTCCCGGCCATGCTTGTCGAAGGTCACGGGCCGATGCGGATGCGAACTGTGGCAATAGCCGCACTGAGCGCCCTCGATGCCGGCCACCGGCCGACGGTCCAAAAACATCAGCGGTGGCCGGAATCACTGAGTTCCCATGGTTGTTGCAGAATGGAAAACACTTCTGAACCCAAGCTTCAAAGAAAGACCGCAGGAGATAAGTACCAAAAGGAGAAAAAACATGTCGTGTCTGTCTCGCCTGATCGCATGATCCTCGAGCAAACTTGATGCAAGGCCTGCGGCAAAGATGCGGGTGTCCCAAACTTCCTTCACTTCCTTGGAAGCCTGCCACGCAACGCCGGATTTGCACACGTGCGTCTCTGTCCCACGTGGAAGTGTGACAAGCAGCATGAAGACGACGATCGCCGCCACCAAAGGCTCACGAAAGTTCCAAACATCTACTAAAACTAAATTAAATATCTCAGCAACAAATTCTGTTGAGTTGTTCTTAGGATTCTTCCAGTGACTTGTCCTCTACAGTTTGACTGGTACCGTATACGGTAGCCTTATCAAAACCCGCCCTTGAATGGGCCTTGCTCGAACGAGGCGGAGGAGTTGCTGGGCGTGTCGCTCTGCTTCAACGTGGGGAGATCTGCCTTCTCCCGCAACTTCGCCACCTCTACTGCGGGCACCGAATCTCAAAGGCCACGGCAAGGCTGCGCACGTGCTTTGATCATTTGTTCATCCACAAGAAGGCTCTACCGACTCTACTTATATTGAAGATGCGGCAAGGTTTCAGCTTGGAGATCAAGCTTTGGCTTTGGATACAACATCATTCTCATGACTGATCCAACATATCGTTTTACAGGGTTTGGGGCAACCTACATCACGGAAAGATTCCTCCAAGAGTAAACTCTTACATGAACAAGTTCACTTATTGTTCACTTCTTGCTTGGACAAGACAAGGCACTTGCATGTGGCATCGCCAGTCCTGGTACTTGCTGGACTGACACTCTACAGCTGGGCAGCTACGGGAACGTTTGTCGTTCTTCGACACCGGGAACACCTCATCGATGAAGGTGAGATGATAGCGGAGCGCCATGGCGAAATTTCGAAAGTCAGGCAGCTACGGGCAAGAAGGTCAGCAGCTGATGAGCCGAAAAATGCTGAAGAGCGGCAAAAAACTGCATCCACCTGTCATTTGGTGTATACATCCTTCCGAATGGAGAAAAATCTCTCTGCGCTGATCCAGCGGTGAGACTTTGGGCCTTCTATGTGCGTCTAGAGGCAGGACTTCTATGTAGAGACACACCCTCTTAAGTTGACCACTTCCAAAAACAACACCTCGTCCACTCGAGTGGAGATTTGCTTACCCTTGTGGGAATCCTCCTTGGGCACGAGATCAAGTTGCTTGCAGGAATCACCCCACAAGGCTCATTGCAAACAGCGATTCCCGTCACACAGCTGCGATCGCAGTAGCGCTTCGCCAGCAACTGAAGCCAAGTGATTGCAGTGACTGTAAGAAAGGGGTTCTGTGGAAAGAAGAAAAACAAAGGGAAGTAAAGCAACATGGAAAAGTGCCTTTGCGATGTTGAACAATAAAATACTTTGAGGCCTGCTTTATAGAGAAGTCTTTGGTAGTTTATATAGATCTGAAGTGCTCTACGCCTTGCTACACCTCACAACTCAGAAAGAAACACTTCCACTTGTAAAAAGCCATGAAAGACCCTTCTTAGAAGGAGGCCATCGCTAGTAGGTTGGAGGCCGTCGCTATTAGACAAAGAATTGGAAAAGGAAGAAAGGTCTAAAGAGCAGGATCTTGAGGGATGCTGCAAAGAACTCATACAATCGACATCCGACCTGCAGGATCTTCAGGGATGCTGCAAAGTCCCAGTGCCGCCAATCCCAGCGGCTCTCGGGCCGCTGTCGCCGGCCACATGGTGCCTTCCGCCGGTTTTTGGTCGGCCCATGTAAAGAGGTGAAAGAATGGACTGTATGCAGTAGAAACTTGCAGTAGTGCCTGTAGACCCCCAAATAGATAGAAAAATAGATCCCCACAAAAAATGTTTTGGAAAAGGTTTCTATCTGGGGACCACTATAGGTACCTCCATTGCTTGACGCACTGCGGACCTCTGGGCTTTCGCCTCCCGGGCAGCCATGGAGATCCAGAACAATCTGTAGCCCTAGCTCCTGCACTTCGGATACTGCTCTCCGCATGAGTGCTAAAAAGCTGCATAGTCTGAGAGAAGGGATCGAACAGCCTTTCATTGAGAACTTCTTTTTCAAGAGCTCGTCTGGAAGCATTGATCAAAACAAAACAGTATCATAATGTATCACTAGTAGCTCCTGGCCTTACTACCAGGAGCAAGAAGCAACTAGGAGCACAGGGCATCGCTACTACTAGTAGGAGCATAGTAGCTCCTGACCTTACTACCAGGAGCAAGAAGCAACTAGGAGCAC